AGCCAATCTTGTAGACAATGTAAGAAGTGCTTTGGAAGGTTACGTAGTGAGGTCTGTGTATGGATGGAGAGACAGTACAGTAGTCTTGCATTGGATCGCTGGTCAAGGGAGCTACAAGCAATTTTTGTCCAATAGAGTTGCACAAATTAATGCCAAGGACTATGTAAAGTGGAGGTATGTGGGAACAGAGCAAAATCCAGCTGATGTGGGGAGCAGAGGCACCCTGTCTAGAGAGCGTCTTGAAATCTGGCTGAAGGGACCAAACTGGCTGACTGAACCAGAAATGTGGCCAGCGGTGGTGCAAACTAAGCCAAGTAAAGAGACAGAAGCAGAGGCCAAGCTAGTAAAGGAAGTGTTTGCTGGGGCCACAGAGATGGAGGACACCCTACACCAGGTTTTAGAGAAACATGGCTTCTGGCAGACGATACGTATCACGTCATGGGTAGCAAGATTTATCGAAAACTGTAAGAAAGGCAAGAAGCACCGGCTGTCTGGTCCATTGACCACATGTGAGACTCTCAAACAAGTGAAATTCTGGGTAGGAAGAGCTCAAAACAGCAAGTTAAACACAGACACGTTCCATGAAGATCAGCTCAAACTTAATTTGCAGAAGAATGAAGAGGGTCTGTAGGTGTGTAGAGGGAGAATCCAGGGAAGCTACCCTATCTACTTACCGCCAGATACCCTGTTAACAGAGAGAATTGTCCATGATAAACATGTGCTAAGTCTTCATGGGGGAGTGGGGCTTACGATGAGTTTTGTTCGTCAACAATATTGGGTGCCGCGGCTAAGACAGCTCACAAAGAGAGTTATCAGAGGATGCTATGGGTGCAAGAAATTCCAAGTAACCGCCTTCTCAAACCCACCAGTTGGAAATTTGCCTACAGACAGGACGGAAGGATCAACCCCTTTCGAAGTTGTTGGCCTAGACTTTGCAGGACCGATAGGGTACAAACTCAAGACAAAGAAAGAAGGAAAAGCATATATTTTGTTATTTGCCTGCAGCTTAACTACAGCTGTCCACCTGGAGTTGCTGCCAAACCAAACAGCTGAGGAGTTCATCAAGCATCTGAAACGGTTCATCGCGAGGAGAGGCCGTCCCAGGAAGATTTATTCTGATAACGGGCGAACTTTTGTTGCCGCAGCGAAATGGTTGAAAGGGGTGGTAAAACATGAACAGCTGCAGAACTACCTCGCTCATCAGGAAATAAGGTGGCAATTCAATCTAAGCAGAGCCCCCTGGTGGGGGGACAATTTGAGAGACTTGTGGGCGTTGTAAAACGGGCATTGTACAAAAGTATTGGTCGAGCTAGCCTTACATGGAATGAACTTGAGGAAGTCTTGCTGGATGTAGAAGTGGCTGTGAATGATCGCCCTCTGACATACGTGGAAGACGACGTGCAGCTACCAGTTTTGACTCTATGTGCCATGATGTTTGGTCAACCAAGACTTGTCCCAGAAGAAAGCACAGAAGAAGGAGATGCTGACTTGAGGAAGAGAGTGAAGTATCTACGCCGGTGTAAAGAGGTTTTATGGAATCGGTGGAGTGGGGAGTATCTGAAGTCCCTGAGGGAAAGACACAATATGAAGCACAAATCCAAACAGATGAACGTCCAGCTAGGAGATGTGGTCCTTATCCAGGATGCTGAACGTAACCGAGGGAAATGGAACATGGGCATAGTAGTCAAGCTTTTCCAAGGCCGAGATGGAGTGATACGAGCCGTTAGGCTGAGGGCAGGAAAATCTTTCCTTGAACGGGTAGTCCAGCATCTTTTTCCTTTAGAACTTTCCTGTGATCAAGAGCAGCGTGTGAGAGAAGACCCCTCCCTAAATCCCAGAGCAAGGGAGTTTCGCCCCGTTAGGAGGGCTGTAGCTGTAGCAGCGGAGAACATTCGCCGCATTGCGGAAGAAGAAGCAGTCGAACACTGAACTTACGTTTATTTGATCCCAATTACTTGTATCAAATAGGGGAGAGTGTGAGAATTCGTAGGTTGATACATCAGATGTTAAGAATGTTTCGTTCGCGTTTTTTTTAATTTGAAAACTAGTCAGGCGCACCCTAAGGTCGTCGGGGCCTGGAAGCTAGGATTATGGATATTATAGGATGTCGTTTCCAAGAAGTGATGGATCAGCAAAAAAAGCACATGGCGAGAGTTAGTGATCTTTACCGAGAGAGATTTAGAAGTATTAAAACAGTTCTGTTCTTTATCGTGAGCGTGAGTTTATTGTCTGGAGAAGCAGTTCCGACACTGTAACTACAAACTTGGAACGAAGAAACATGTAAATATGAGATTCTGTTTAGCATAATAAAATGTTATATTGCACTCTGCTGATGTTGCTGCAGCGAATGCCGCTATCGTTAGCACAGGATAGCAGCCCGCACTGCTTTTGATGCTGCCACTGTCTTATTATGTGCACTGCCAATACAGTTTGCCGAAGCAATTGCCGTTGCCATAACTACTGCCATTACTCCATCCACTTCCCTTACATTGCCGCAACACAGTTGCTGATACTAGAATTTGCTTATTTTCAAGATGATATTACTTTACCTTGAAACTTTTTGGTCGCCATTCCGAGCCGCGATCACTTGGCTCTGCTGTAACTGATTGTTGAGAGGTGGTAAGACCTACACTCCTTGTCTCAACAGCAGTGGAGCTTGTAAGATGCTGACTCGATAATATACTGCCCAGCTGACTTAGCACCTGACACAAAAACCATGAATAATAAAACTGAAACTTCATTTCCTCAGAGTTATAAAGCACCTATTACTAGAACTGACGATTACAACCTGTTTAAAAAGTTCCACTACTAGCTTCCCACAATCCAATCTGGAATTCACCACAGAGGTTTCGAATGGTTCTCCTTGACTCAAAACGTTCCCTAATATTACCAAATCGCTACCACTTCAAGACCTTATTGCATGCCATTCAACTCTCTACCTTCCTTTCTACTAGCATAATATCAAAACGGACGTTTCTTCCTTTTCTTAGCTTGTCGAAGCGCTAATTTCGCTCATTGTGATATCGAGGAATTCCTTCTCAGCTAAATAAATTTTAACGACGTTTCTCTCAAAAGTAAGAGCCATCACGTCTTGCACGAAAAGCTACGTAGTTGCATTGCAAGGAATGGAATGATCATTGTCACTCACCTGGGAAATGTTGTTACGTATCTCTGGCATTCTTTCAATTATTTGCATCGTATCTTCCTGATAAAGAGAAAAAAAACAAATTACAGTTCGTTTGTTGATAGGTCATCCGTCACTCTGTATTGCCATATTACTGTACATATTTACATGCACGTTTGACAAATGTTGAGAACTGGACTAAAAATACGACAAGTATGGCGTCTTCATTGTGGTGCAATCCCAACCCCACCCAATTCTCTGTAACCTCATACGATCACAGCTTTGGTGAAGTATAAAGCAATCAAAGGTATTATCACTCATTCCACTAGGGTCAGAAACTTCCCAGCACGACGTTGCTGCTGACAATTGCTACAATTTAGATCTAATAGACGCAGGATTAAACCTAAAAATTGGCCCACCTCGCCTTAAGGTACTAGCAACGTCCTACTGGTATCTGGGAAGTCATGAATTCCCCCAGCAGGGGCTCCCATTTTCTCTTTACCTCAAGCTCGTGAGAAAAGGACCATTACACCTTCATTACATAGTAGTACTGGACAATGGATGGATCAGACTAGGAATCGATCATCTGACTGAAGTTTTATCAACTGATAATCTGATTAAAAGAAGCTCACGTAAGGTACCTTGTTTAGCATGACAGGTTTCACGCTTCGAAGCAAATTAGCTTCTTGACCAAGCCCTTCCTGTACCAGCCATTGGACCATGTTATCAGCAAACTGCAGTACTGCCTCATAAGTCTTAAGTGTTTCCTGAGCCACAGGGTGGTCATCAAGAGCGGAGTTTATCAGCCGCCTTCGAGCTCTAGCACTCATCACTGGTCGACTCCTCTCAGGTGGAGAAAGCATCCCCACTTTAGGCTCCCCAGAGGCACTCTGTTAGGTAAAGACAAGTTAATAATCTTCAAAACATTCTAATAGCATGACGCAAAGACATACAAACTAAGATGAAAAGAACAGAAGGGAGAACGTTTTTTTAAAGAAAATATCATTACAGGGATTACGAATCACGTTCACCCAAATGTCAATTTGAACTATGTGAGCAAGTTTTACCTTTGCTTACTGTTTCCTTTCATTATATCGACTCAAAAACAAGTTGGTTCACGCCAGTGATATCCATGAGGACTATTTTAGACAAATGAATGGTCCAAATTCGTTCTCCGCAAAACACCGAGAAACTGTTTTCTGGATCAAGAGGAGCCCATTATTTTAGTACATAGGATAGTCCCTAAACAGCCTTTTCTCAATGTTAATACAAAGCCTTACATATATTATTAAATTTGTTAAAGCTGACCTGCAAGACTTGTCACTCAGGGTCCAAATAGCCTGGGCACGGTTAGTATGTTATGATCTATACCTGAACACACGCTGATACGGCGATATAAGAGGCGACTTTAAACTTCACGTATACGACAAACGGCAAACGTCAGATTCAAGTTGAGAAGTTCTCAAAATAGAAAATGAATAAATAAAAGCACCCAAAACAATTCTTATGGATAAAGAATTGCATGAAACTACTAATTTAGGTGTAGAAATAATGAACAGTAACGACGAGTAAAGGGGAAACTTGGTCACCTGGTACAAATTTGCTTTTGCCGTTTGACGTAAACGTGATGCTTAACTTCTCTATAGACGTGCAGTGACGTCTTTGAGCGACGCAGGTCAACCGGAAGTAAGGCCTTGTTCCTTTTAATATGCCTTGCCGCAACCAAATTTCTATTGCAAAGTGTCTCTACTCTTATTAAGAGGATTTGGCCGAAAATGCAAACGTTCACTTTCTGTTGACGTGCATTCGCTCAAAAACGTTCTTGCTTAAGCTCCCAAATTCTATGGAAGATGCAGTTCAGCGCTTGTCCCACCTACAAGCCAACCTAGCAGTTCAGTACCACATACAATACTTACATCATCAGTATCAATTTTGGGGATAACAGCGACACTTGAGCTCGGTCTTGACTCGAATTTCAAGCTTGACGATGCGCCTTCAAAGCCGCTATCACGTGGGCTCTGTCCCCTCGCAGTTATCTGGTCGGTCTCTGTTGCAGTGTCTACAAACTGAGCCGAGGAACGGCGAGAGGACTGACTTCCAATAGAATGATGTCTGTTAGGATCAACGGCCTGACAACAAGATTAAATAGTAAATGCGATTAGTATAATTTGCAATGAGCCAATTCAGGCATTATAAAATGAAGTCGTGTTGCCCAAACGCTTTGATAAGATTTTGTCCACCCGTTCCCTCCAATTCGGCCTAAGTCACCTTTGTTTAGCAGTTGGACAGCGATATCTACCACACCCCAGTCGTCCAAAAGGCGGACAGCTTTTTCTAACGGATAAATCGTTACCCAGCGGATAAGAATTAGTCAAACCTGTTAACCACTTTTTGAACAACCAGGGCCAGATGTTAATAATTCTACAGACGGTTGGTGGTGCTAGATCATGAGCTGCTGTACCTGTACCTGATCCTGGTCTCTTTCTATGGACATGGAAGTCATTGTTTGTTCCTCTCGCATATTCGCTAAAGACTTGCTTGTCATTGTTTCTTGTTCTTGTTTATCAAATGACGACCCGTTCGTCATGGTTTCCTCTTCACGTCTATCATACAGAGACAGTCCAGTCATGGTCTGCTCTTCCTGTCTGTTCTGCAAAGCTTTCTCTTTTACGCGTCTCTGTGGAAAGAATCATTAATCAGCCAAATCAATTGAATTTAGGTAGGTTTCGATCGTACTCTAAACATAATCTAGTAACAACATTCTGAGCAGTATCTTACCATTTCCTCCTGTTCTGCAAGGACCTCTTCCTATGAAAAAAATAGATTACACCAGTTAAAGTGTGAATTCAGAGACACTGTATCACAGCATGCATGCGCTCTGATTAGCTGGGCAGTTAGTTTGACTAACACAAATACTAAAAACATCGTATTACTATGCTGATTATTGTAAAGACATACAATACGCAGACTCATCCCTTAGGGACCGTTCATTTTTTTATGAGAGAGGGGGGGCTGGTGGGATTTGGGGGGGGCACTCGAAAAAAATTGGCTTGAAAGGGAGGGCCAGCCGAAAAAAAATGAAGGAAAGGAGGGGGGGAGTCGGACGAAAAAATTAGATTAAAAATAGAATAAGAGATGTTTACAAATGGAAGAAAAATTGTGCTCTTTTATTTATAACAAATATGCTAAAACAGTTCCAGGGTAACAACTACAGGGAGTTTCTGAAGTTTTCTTGTGGAGTAAAGGTAGGACAAGTTTGTTCTTTTTGTTGTGAATGGACTGGACCACCTATAGGGAGATGCCCGAAACCATTTCCTGATCATGCCTGCCTTTCACAGTACCACTACCTTCCTTATCAGCAGACCCCAAATGAGGGGCGTGATCCAGACGATTGGAGAGTCCAGTTGAACAAGGCACATGCCGGTGGTAGCGTAGTTTTGTCTGACCCAGAGAGCGTAGCTAGATTTGGAGACAAATTCATTGTGAAACCAAAGTTTGTGGTTGACTATCTCCAGCATCTTGAGGTCATAGAGTTTAAAAAAAAGAAGAGACTGGCGGAAAGGGCAAGGGAAAGTAGGGAGGCAAGAGAAAAGTCCTATGATGATTATCATTGGGCTACTTTGTGCGACGATGCCGCCAAGCTAAAAAAGCTCCGTGTGCCAGAGTTGAACAAATACTTACAACATCATGGGCTATTAAAACAGCATCAGAAGAGCAGCAAGAATGACAAAGTGAAGACAATTATGGGACACTTCCTGCAGATGAATACTCTCAGAACAGGTCAAGCCGAAGTGAGAGGCAGCAATGAATCAGGTCAACTAGACAGCAGTGGTGAAAGCAGTGAGGGAGAAGAAACTGATGATGATTACAAGAGTGGTGCCCCTGACCCTGAAGACGACTCAAATGATGTCGTTCTTGCTTTTATCGCCTCAGACGAGGAATATGTAGACGAGCGGCCAGCTACAACACGCTCAGGACGAGCAGTAACAAGAAGAGCTGAAATTGACTTTTCATTCTTTTGAGTGAGGATTTGTTAAAAACAGCTTTCTAGCTTTCTTTCACTAAATTACGTGAAATGTAACAAAACGAAATTTTAGTGCAGTATTATTTATTCATGGGGGCTTCCAAAAATTACTCTGATGAGGGGGGGCATGCGAAAAAATCGGAAATTGGGGGGGTCATACAATTTTCAAATTACACTCCTCCAAATTCCACCAGCCCCCCCTACCCCATAAAAAATGAACGGTCCCTTAGATCTACATGAACTGACCAAGTGTTGAGTCTTTCTGCAGGTAATGGTACACATTAAATTTCGTTTTACTATCGTACGTTTTGTATTAAAAGTATCGTATGTACGACGTACTCTAATGCGTAACACAGAGAAAAGTGATACATCCAAGAATCAGTAAAATCGAAAGAAATTGGAATACGTTTGAGTACTTATGCCTGTTCTTATTGAACGAGAGATGTTTGTTATATTACATGAACAACGCTCTTGGAATGAATTTTGAGACCCTCCACAAGAATCGTTGTTCACTCCTATAGCATTTGTGAAAAACACTTCGCTAAACGTCAGAAACATGATAAGACTGTAAGTTTTAAGTCCCATGGATCCAGTTAAAAGTAGAAACATATGTTAAATACCAAGACGAAATTCAATATAAAATATCATGTAGGAGAACAACTCACCAGCTGCAAAACAGCCTGTTCCGCCTACAAAGAAATCAAATAACACAAACTTACTTGCAATATAAATAATCAAGACCTACTGTAAACTACTGGCTTTTATTTAACATCAGTCTCATTTTGTTTGTTTACTCAGTTTTATTTAATGAGTCGCTTTGAATCAGTCTTCTAGATTCGCAGAAAGAGGATCAGCAACGTTTGGTCACACCATTATAGCTGACATCTAACAACTTAAAACTATCAGAAGGCTCGCATAACTTTCAAAAGGACAAGTTTAGGTCAATTTAGCACTGTCGGATGTGACATGTTGCGTTTGTTTGCACACCCTGTTGCATGTTCTTGCGTCTTGCTGGCAGTTGTTGCGCAAAGTTTGAAACCGGTCAAACGTTTAGCTAGGCGCAAATAGAGGCAACAACTCCCAAGATTGCTGGGCCAGCAATATTGGGAGTTGTTGCGTTCGTTTGCACGTAGGTTAAGAGTTCATACCTCTTTTTCTGCCTGTTCCTGAATACAGAAATAAGAAAAACATAAATGAAGGTTAACAGAGAAGATGGCAAGTCTCAAGATAAGAGTGAACTGCGATTTCCATTACATACAGTCACTGTATTGTAATGAACTGGGCCAAAGGCGAATGATAACCGAAATACTAGTTGAACGCAATTTATATAAAGGAACACACGAACAGAAATAAAAGAACTGAAAAAAGGTGGGAAATGCAACTTAAAACAAGCAGAATATTGCTGAAGATTAAGAGTAGGTGAATCAGAAAATAAAAGAAAACAAACTACATTATCAAACTTACTTTGAGTAACTCCGCATCCTTGATTCTGTTCAGCATGGCTTCTTTTTCCTGTTTTCAATAAAGATAAAATAAATAGGATGGGTATAATTTAAAATATACGTATCTAGCTTAGAGATCGAGTATTAACTGTAATATCAAAAAGAATAAAACAAAAATACTTACCTTTTGAAAGTTGTCTTGAAACTCTTCATTCTGTTTTTTCAGGGCATTTGTTTTCAACATATACTACGAAAAAAAAGCCAACAGACCATACGTCTGAGTTAGGACACATGAAAGTGTCAAAATCTCTAGCGGCTGGAAAGGTTTGTTAGGCTACAAAATCAATGCTTTAGAGCTAAGAAATCTATCACAGAGTAACAACGTAATAAGCTCTGGTCATTACTGATGGCCGACCAATCAGAAAGAACAAATAAAAAAAATAATGACAAAAGTCGCACCTTGTTTTTTAATTCTGCAAGCTCTAACTCTAACTTTTTCTGTCTTTCCTGTGCCTGGAATGATACAAAGAAGGTAAGGTGTAGTAAATGATAAAAAACAAAAGAAATAACAGAATCTTATATTTGTCACCGGGTGTTTGAGAGGTCCATGTGAATACATGGATAAATAAAGTTGATACCTTAGCCTTGTAATCCTCTAACTTTCCAATGAGATCTTCTTTAGATATTGATTCCTGCAATAAAAAAGATGAATAAGTGCAATGTCACCAAATACACCATATTTCAAGATGGCGTCAAGCTATGTTATTCTTTTGTCTTTATGATACCTGGCCCTCGATGCCTCTAAATCTAAATCTAACATTGTGAAAGGCACCCACATGGGAAAATTAAATTGTGTATAGCGAACGGTCAGCGGCTATTTAGTCTTAATAATGGCTTTTACAGATTAAATCGTTGATGTCTTGGTCTCACATAAGGGAAGACTTAAGGCATTCTTTAAAAGAAGTGTTCTGAATCAATGTTAAGGGGAAGATGGTTCCACTCTGGCACCGTGCAAGCCAAGAATGATGCTCTTACAACTTGCTGTAAAACAACCTGCTTCAAATCAAGGGAAAATTTCTTTTCAATTCTGCCAAAGCCAAAGAAGGTAAGCAAAGAGGGTCAGAGTAATTGACATAAATATAAAAGAAGAGTAGTTTACCCCCATTTTGCAACAAGATGTACAAGCTCCTTGCTTTCTGGAGTAAATAAAGTAATTACCAATTCAATGTCCTCATGTTCTTCTTCTGGTACCGCCTCAAGCACGGATGGTTTCCTATCAGCTGTGACAGGGGCACTTAACTCAGTGTCACTCAAGTCTTCAGCTTCACTCTGAATCCCAACGTCCACCATCTCAACAGAGGTTGTAACTATAAAATGAAGGATAAGGAAATGATTTTCACCATAGCTACACACTTGTATGGCTCTAAAGGAGTGGCTTTTCATGATAACACACGTCAAAAATGCAAGCAAGACTGCAGCATTACAGAGCTGGCTTGCAATGAGTCCGCAATAAAATAAAACAAAACATTCACATAGGCCAAGATGCTTAAAACAATCAGTTCAGAGCGTTTCCAATGCGTTGCAAATCTTTTAAGAAATGGTGATGTGAGGTTCGAGATAGAGAAGGATCGATCTCTTTTTTTTAATTATAACATCATAATAAATACGGTTTAAACGTAAAGGAACATGTGAATCCTAAATTGGAAACAAATTCTTATAACACATCCACTTCTTTTAGTTACACGTGCCCGCTTCTAGTACCTTTTTTAGGAATTAAGTTACCTTGAACTAGTGTTGAGTCACTCTGTTTCTTTTCTGAACTACCCTCTCCTCTCACCGACTTCTCCAATGGTTCCACGACAGCGGGGGGCTTATCAGGAGACTTAGATTTGACAGGTTTATCAGACGTTTCTTTTGATGATTTCTCTTTCTTGTTCTTGTCATTTTTGGATTCCCTCCGAGAGAGAGATACTTTTCCTTGAATGCTATCACTAGTATTCTCTCGATTAGCTTCAGTAGATGGTGATGCTTGTGAACTTGGAGCCTTGGTGTTATTTTGTGGGGTTGATGCGTTATCACTTTGCTCTGACCCTGATCCTGCATCACTCTGCAAATGAACAAAATATGACAAAAGAAATAGTTTTAATAAATTCAATGCGTGGTCTTGATCCTCGCAGTGTTACAATTAGCTCAGTTGGAAAAGCGCTAGTGCATGGCTGGATGGCCGGACAGACCAAAACTTAAAAGATCATCTGAGGGCGAAGGCATCGCCTTATACCTGAAAATAGAAATGACCGTCTATTCTCCAGATAAAGGGATGCAAAAACAGTGTTCTCAAGCAAGCTTTGAGACACAGCTAGAACATCGATGCCTTATAAAGACAGCTTTGGATGTGTCCATTTCAAAAGAGTATGCGTCAACCTACACGTACAGGAGTCAACCGAAACGGCATCCAATAAATGAAGAATATGACTGATGATGACGTTGACTGGAGAAAATCCTAAGCTATCAAGGATCACTGAAAGCTTTGATTTGGGAAATGAACTCTTTGAAGTGTTCACAAAGTATACAGGCTTTTTGGACCATTCTAGGAAGTGTAGTACAATGCAAAATAGCACCGTTGACTTTCTTGAACTCAATAAAGTCAACTAACGTACCGTTGAATTACTTTACAACTCGTATACTGTTTTCCTTTAACACACGTTCTTTGAACATTCATAGTTTTAATCGTTGTCTTAGTTGTCAAGTCTCAACAGAACAATCTTAACAGATCTTCAGAAAAGCACGCAAACTCAAGTCTTCAATCAAAAACGAAAATCTCCATTCCACAAGGAGTATACAATTTTACAGACTCATCATGTCAAACAAACGCTATTCTTAATGAACCAAGCAATTGATAACGTACCACTCAAGGGATATGCTAATACTTACCATGTTTCTACCCTTGTTCAAGAACCTGACAGCCTGCGCTGAAGATTTGAGGGACAATTTACGAGGGCCTTCTCCACCATCAGAACCCTCGGGTGAAAACAGACTGCTCCTTTTACTTGAGCCAGATTCAGCTACTAGTGAATTACGTTTGCTGGAATCCGACAACTCGGACTTGAGCTCTTCACTTTTTCTTCTCGCCTGTCAAAAGGAAAGTGTAATTACTTCGACAGTTGTTTGTAGAATTAACTGTACAGAAAGTGCGACATGCATGTCCAGCTAGCCACGCAACATCTCTCACGTACACAAAACTTGAGCGAACCACTGAACAACAAAACCCCCGAGATGTTAATATGAAATCCACAGTGACACACACTATACTTTATTTCATACACATCATTTTGCCATCTCCGCCCGCAAATAGTAAAAGCTAGACGAGGCGGGCAGAGAAGAAAGGTCACAGCAGTCATAGATAATATTGTAAAGTAACTAAATAAACTGTGTGGATAAATAAGAATTACAGTCAGTGTATCTTCAGACTTGATCATTTCCTCCGGATGGTTCCCAAAGAGCGATACTATTATCTCTCTGTTGATAGTGACACTACACAAAGTATTTTTGTTACTGTAATTTGTCTTAAAGTTTTGAAGCCTTTGATTAAATGAACTACTGAATGTGGGAGTAGAAGTAAGGATGAGTGTTATGTGCAGCAGATTTCTTTAACACTGTTAGCCAAGTGAAAGACATGAAAAAACAAACAAAAACATGTGCAAGGCTCCAAAGCAGGAAAACAGACTTTCTTGGTATTGTGTTTTAGCCAACCTACCACTTCAAGCGCTTTTTGCATCCTGCTAATCTCTACTTTGTGGTCATCTCTTAGCTGAGTAAGTTCTCTCTGATGGCTTCCTACAAGTTCTTTAACTTGAACGTCATAATGTTGCTTTAATTCTAGAACAGCATAAGTAGAAAGTTTACCAAAAAAGACCAAACTGTTTCTAAAATAGCAAAAAAAGCGATGAAATTTTCTAATATTATCACTCTACACTTAAAGTCAGACTAAAGGAAGAAAAGCTGTTTCACGTAAATCAAAAGGTTAGCGTTATTGTATGAAGCATTTAGTACAACTATTCCAAACCTTTGCTTCCTTATGTATACCTGTTCTTAAATCTGCTATGTACTGTTGTTGATCGCGGATTTTTTCCTCACAGATATCCTTTGATTTCTGAAAAAAAGAAGAAGAAATATTTACCGTTGACGATTATTAATTTGTTAAGGACGTTAGTTTATGGAGACACTGTTGCTTGAGCTCTCAAAGACTATCAAATAATTTTATAGGAATCAAGCAATGATGCCTGCAGAAATTGGCTAAAATAATGACTACTTTATACTACAGGGAGAACAATTAAATTAAATTTGAAGAGGATCGTGATAATGGCAGTCATAAGTGCAACTTTTGTAAATGCAAAAAGAAAGCTTTATACAGGAAGGCTGACATTTTTCAGACTGATTTTTTTCAGGCTTTCTTTTAGCTACTGCAAAAGATAGGTTTATAACTGTGATGTGACTCTCACGTGACGCTGTATATAAACTGCAGTGACGTTCCACAAATTCATCTCATGACTTTTAAGTTTAATTTAACTGTGATGTAATGTAGACTTCATTTGGTAAGAGTACATCTTTATTCTAAAGAGAGATGAGCATACAGTTGTGCAAGTTTAAGCTCTCTTGATAGGAAAAAAGTGTGAGATGATATGGACAGGGAGAGGAAAAGGAAAGATAAGAAAAGTAGGTGGAAAGCTTGCCCCCCCCCCCAAGCCCAGGGGGGGGGGGGGTTCTCCGCATATGAAAGGGTTGGGGATGCTCGTCGGAAATTTTGAATTAAATCCCTAAAGGAGACCAATCTGGGCGTGGCCCAACGCTTTTTTGGACCCCTGAAAGTTATCATTTTGAACGTTGATTACATGACTCGAGTAAATAAAACGAATTGAAGATTCATAATTTTTTAATATTTCTTCAAGTGCAACCCTAAAAGAGACCTTTACGGCTAAATATAATGGTGTTTTGCCCAGAACACCCTAAACGAGACCAAAATCTGAAATTTACACCCCTAAGGGAGACGACAAGCATCCCCACCCCCTTCATATATGGAGTTCCTCTGGCCCCCAAAGCCCTTTTCCTTCTCTGTATGCCACAATAGACTCTAGCACTAGCCTATACGTGGCTAGAAAAGCCTAGCAATTGCCAGCTTGCTAAGAAACACTCCAAACAGTGGGTTATGACTGACTATTAAAATAGACTATTGTGCTGAAAAGTGAAAAAAAAAAATAAAGCAAAACTAACAACAAATATAATCCTTGAGGATGGTACTTCTGTTTGCTGTAGAATAAGGTTATTGTTAAATAATACATGTATTAGCAGTCTCAAGAAGCATTAACATTAAAAGAAAAGGAATATTTTATTCAAGTGGAGGCAAGATTTAAAACAATTTATCTTTATGATGTACATTGTAAGAATATAAATTTATCCATTACTTCAAAAATTACTGAAACAGGTGTAAAATTTTACTCATGATATGATAAAGAAGGCATGGGAAATAACTCTGTCTTAGGACATGCCTCAAAGACCAAGCAAAAGTAGAAACAGGCAGGATCAATGCTACCTTACTTGTCAGCTGCGAGGGTATGTCAGCCAGACCTTTACTTTCCAAGCCTTGAGTTGATCAAGGAAACATGTGTAACCTGTTTTATAGAGTATGCATACAGCAATCATGTTGGAGGAGTAAAACAATAAAACGATTTCCTTTAAGAAAAAATTTCATTTTCATTGTTTACTCCTGCAATATGGCCACCACAAACAGACTCTATAGTCTCATTTTGATTTTGCCTAATCGCTAAGGTACATGTATCAATTACCATAGCAATGAACATTAAACTTCGAACAAAGGTGAAAGGAATTTTTTTTCTTTTGGATACTAGCAGAGACTGATTATAAAGCTTAAGTCAAGAAATCCCATAACCTCTTCAATCAGGCTGCTTAATTTCATTATAGAAACAGGCAGCAAATAAATAATAGGAACAAGTTAAAAAAGAAATATAATAATATTGTTGTCATCATCATCACATTTTCTACACTTACAGTTTGTACTAAAAACAGTAAGGTTTGGGAACAGTACAATGTGTGCGAGTTACTTTTCGGGTGGAGAGAAGTGATGACTAATGTAAGACATATAGTCATTATTTAAGAACTGAAAAGGTGCATTGCTTTCTTGAAATAACTCAAAATCATTATTCATCATTACCTGGTTGTCCTCTCGTACTTTCTTGTGTTTTTCAAAATCCCTTTCTTGTTTGTCTTCTAGATGAGCTACACTAAGTTCCAAGTCAGCAATTGTCTAAAATGGACACACATACATGTGACATGATTTAGCAACATGAATTTCACAAAAACATTCCCGAAGTTGTATAAGTTTATATCACAGAGACTTAAAATGTAACAAAAACAAAATAATTAAGAATAAGGTCAAATTTTAACCCACTTGACTTTCAGCCCTGTAAGTAAGCCTAATTAAAATTAATGGCAGTTAACACTTCCATGTACCGTGCATGTACATGTACCTTGGCCCTGATAATTCTGGATATCACAAAAACCTCATTCAAATACATATTGTATATTGTCTATAACAAGTAAAATTTGTATTAACGTGGACACCTTCCCTACTCTCACCAGTTTACACTCAAACAAGGGTCCTCTAAATACACGAAATATTTAGAGGTGAGTGTCAGCTAAATACAGGGTATCCTGTTAACACTTGCAAAATCATGAACATCAGAAATATTTGACGAAATGTATAATTATTATGTTAGGCTGCCTGCAAATGGACGCAACATTGTTGACCAACAACTCCCAACATTGTTGGATGTTACATGTTGCATCCGTTTGCACACCCTGTTGCATCCTGTTGGATGTTGTTGCGCAAAGTTTGAAACTGGTCAAACTTTTCAGCCAACAACTCCCAACATTTCTTTTGTTTCGTGATCGCCGAAGTGTAGCGCAACAATGTTCGATCCGTTTGCACAGCTCTTCCAACGTTGTTGGGGCCGCGCACGCTCACTATGCATGGTTTACAAAGACTTATGGGTTGTATCCTTCCCACGATGCACTGCAGGTCCCAACATTGTTGGGAGTTGTTGCATCCATTTGCACACCACTGCCAACACGCACGCAACAACTCCCAACATTGTTGGCGCAACATTGGGAGTTGTTGCATCCATTTGCACGCAGCCTTACAAGGAAAATGGTGAGAAGAAGTAAGAAAACTAAAACAACAGGCAGCAATGATAACCAGTTTGTGGTTTTATAGTGCGCTTATGATTTCTGAGCTGCAATATTTTAATGGGCCAATCTACAATACACAACCATCATCCTTGAAATATATCAGTTGTTGATTCTTTCGGCCATCCTTAGTTTGACAGGATACTAAAACTAGCAATGTTCTGCAGAGTGAAACTTTCACAGACAACATCCAAGACAGCCAAGAAAATGCAAAAACACAATCATGTAAGTCCAGTGTATAACCAAAAATCTCCACTGAATTTTAATGTTACATGAATGTCTCATACTCATCCAATCATTTCAGTTGAGGCGGTGGTGTCACTCTTTTGTCCCATACCTACATTGTATCTCAAAATTTTGCCTTCTGTATATGCCCAAAAAAATGGAAACTGAAGGCTGTAATTTGGACTTATAAGCAATATTTCACCATGGGTAGTTTTGCTTCTTAGTAACCACATGGCCAGAAAAAATTTCGACTAGCTTCAAACAGCTTTTCTTTTTGGCAAAAGCTCAAGGGCAAGCTAAGTTGGTTAAAAATACAAAAGTGATTGGAAATGCAGTAACACTTAAAAATTTGGACCCACCCAGGTCTCATGTTTCATACTCCATACATACATCTTTTTTTTTCTTCAAATGACCTGCCCCCCTTTCCTGAGAGTCTGACATAGATAGAGAGGTTACAAAGGCATCAAAAACTACATGTACTATACATGCTTTAAAAAACAATAACATTTAAATCACCTTATGAGCTCTTTGAAGATCTGTTTCCTTTACAGCAATTTCAGTTTTAAGTTCCTTCACTGTCTCAGCTGCTTTCTATATACATAATGAATAAACAGGGAGTTGATGCTCATTAATTTCACCATGAATAAAAATAACTGCTCATGGTGAATCACACACAGCATTAATCAACTATGTTAAATAATAACTCCTGGATTAGATGGGGTTTAATGTATCAATATCCTTCTGGTACTAATTTTCATTAAATTAGACCACAATTAATAGATATTGTACTGAATGGACTGATCTAGAACTGAGCTTGGTTCTAAAATGCTACTAACTACATGTAAAGGGAATTAAAACAAATGAAGAAGAACAAGATTTCACAGAATAGTAAAGAGTTACCCTGCAAAACTATAAAATCACTTACTTTTGCGTTTTCACCTTGAACTTTAAGCCTGCGATAGATTGAATAAGGAATTTATAACGTAAACCTCTGGTCTGTTAATCAACTTGTGTGTGCTGATATTTTTTATGGTAAAATGCTTTTCATAAATTCTGTTATACACTACATGTATCAGAAGTAAACAGGTACTAGTTAATGTAGACCAAGAATACCTTTCAATTTCTACTTGTTTCATTTCCATGGATTTGTACATTTGAGACATTTTCCCTTCACTGTCTTCAAGATCTGCAAGAATATCATTTCAGAAAAATTATTTCTACAACTTATACTTTTTTTATAATATATTAGTGCTGATGTGCAGTTTCTGATGGGCACTGAAGAGCATACTTTGGTAAACTAGGAAATCTTAGTTTTTAATACAATTATACAATTTCATACAATTCATATGATTCATGCATCCTGGATTTTCAAGGTTTTTAGTCTTGAATTCCTTATAATTTCAGAGTACATGCAGCTTGGAAATGTAACTTAGATGCCTCAGGCTCCTGATTGCAAAAACTCCTACAGATAAAAATTCTACATGATGTAACAATAATAATTTAATAAATAACTTATTCACTTCTATAGTGCAAATTCAACTCAAAGTTTTCATAAATCCATGTTGGATATTCACTTCCCTTTGTACTCATGTCTTTTATTATCAAAAAACAAGTAAATAAAATGCTAGATAAGTGTTGTAAAAAAGTAATTGACAGATAACTTTTATAACTCTTATCCACCTACCATTTTGAACCCTGATTAACTTTTCTGTCAGTGACATGATATCATGTTGGGATTGTTGAAGAGCTTTCTCAAGTTTCTTTTTTCCTCTAGAATGAAACCACCAACAGCAAAATGGTATCAGACAAAATCAAAGTAAACATTGATCATAAGGAACACAGGCAGTGTACAGTCATGTTTATTGTAGGGAGCCTACTCATCCCTTAGAATACAAAACAAGTAAATGCATGAACAATCAACAGTATCTACAGAACTATGAATGCATGTACACATAGTTGACAATCTGCTGTAAGATTTTGCTTTTACAAAGTTAAAAAAAGCTTTTTTATGCTTGCAGTTATAATTATTAAAACATGCAATCATGTACAGTGTAAAATACATGTACACACACAAAGTCAAGTACAATGAAAGCTAAATCTACACATAGAACAAAATGAAGTGGCTTTTATGTACAGCAGCTGAGTTTGTACACAATCATCTAGCAAGGAATCATTTACGCCACATTGTAGCATATGATTACTGCTATACAGTCTTTTTGGCACAACAAACCTTTTACAATGTAGTTCCTGTATGTTGGATTAGATTAGCTCTCACAAACCTTTTTTAATATTAGTTTATAACATGCTATCACAAAGGAACAAAATCTCCCCCTCAAAACCGTTATTTCCAATTTGGTAGCTATCTTCTAGTTGAAGTAAACCAAACGTGATAATAGAAGCAGAATAAAACCCACTAAAGTGAACAATTACTTCCCTACAGTGATAAAATACAGTTGATCAAACACTATAGTTATTAATTAATTTGAACAAATAGACTATGAAGTGATAACTAACAGATATTAAATCACTCAAAAACTAACATACCCTTCATCAGCAGCTAAAGTAGGATGCAAACCTTGGGATTCAAAACCCTTGCGTTGTTAATTAACCAAATGGTTTGTTTATCAAGAAAACTGAAACCTGATAATCTGAAACCCGTGCTGACCACCCTTATGACCTCTTCCTTTCAAAGGGGGTTTTGTTTAACTGAAATCAGAATGCTCTCTTGAAAATGCCTAGCAACTGTTGTGAAATTATCATAAAAACAATAAACTTGAAATACTGTCATGAGATGAGAACAAAGGAGCCAATTAATTACCATTGATTGTATGCATGCCATATCTTTCAACATTATTAAGTCAAAGCTTAATAAGTGTCTAGAATTCATTTAAATTGTAGTAATAATAATAGTATATCTTTGATGGCCATTCAAGTCTCCAACTGAGTTATATTTGTACATACTAACTAATGCCTTCAAAATTTGTTCCTTTGAAAATAAACAAACCCTAAAGTTTGACTGTGCTAGAAAATATTCAAGATCAAACATTATATTATCACAGTTTTTGAGAGCATTGTGTAATCGTCTGTGTTAATACAACTGACAATCATTCAAGTGTAAAGTTTCCTTTTCAAACATGTTAAGAATTCTGATGACTTACTTTTTGGTTTCTTTAGGATTCGCTAATTCAAGAGCTTTAATCACATCTTTTGAAACAGCTGCCAGTCTTTCAGTTGCTTTTTCTGCTTTGTCCAGGGCTTCTCTGTTAAGTAAACAAAAAAAATTAACACTAACAGTAAATTCAAAACATTGTGTTGGGAAAATACAGTGGATATTACCAATGTGTGTATGTTGTACATGCAGGTGAGTGGGGAGAACAGTAGGGGGTTGGAATAAGAGGAGTAGGGCTTGGGGGGGTTACTGTACATCACAGGAGGCCTTAGCTTCAAGAAAAGTGACACTGAAGCAGTATAAGCTCATGAGCAGAGATTTTCCAAAACAAAAATGCCATTTTAAGCTACAGTACAAGCATCTAAGCCACTTCTGGTCACCAAGTAACACATGTAGACACAAAGACGAACTATCCTCACCTTTGCTAACATTTATGAGTTGAAGCTATATTTGATTTTATTTCATATTCTTAAAAGTTGTTCTTTTCTTCTCCTACATTTTCCCTCAAAATTGTTTCACAATCAAACACAAGGGAGCATAAGAGAATATTAAATTGTTAACAAAGTATGGTAAAAGTGGTTACTGAGTCAAAATTTTCATTTATTTTTTAATAGTGGTCAAAGTACAGTGTAGAAGAATTCTTCCATGTACAATCAAAATGCAATCTATGTTGCTGGGACCAGCTTAGGTAAGTGTATATATGTGCCTGCTGCATGAGGTGCATGTAGTTTAGTGGAGGTGTCAACTGACACATGGTTACATGTAAACGTGTATGTACAACAATATCAATTTTACCGGACATTAGCACCAACATATTCAATATCAAAGTCTGGTGGTTCAACTTCAAAGTCCTCTTCTCCTCGCCCATTTTGAACAAAAAACTGAAAGGAAGATAGATTATATTTACAAAAGGAACAATCTATAGTAATTATCGCATAGCTGTACATTCAAGTGGTTACTTATGTAAATGCATAAATTTACTGCAGTATTAACTGAAAATATGTAACAAACATTAATAAAAGTGAACATGTACCTCTTGTAACTGGGCTAAAAGCTGCAAAAGAATGAAGAATGATGTAGATTAGAAGTACAAAATTAAATAAAAGTGACCAAAGCATCAGCAAGAGAGAGGGGGGTTTACATGTTAATTAAGTTTTAATTTGAGTCTGAGCTTTAATGTCAGCTGTAGCATAGTGAGCACATGAAGTTATCCTCTTACAGGCTCCATTCCCCAAACAATTGATAAAATCTGAATGTCAGCGCTTCAAAATACATTCAGCAACACCATACACAGTGTATTATACTGAAAATAACCTGTCTTGTTAAAATAATAATACACTGTACATGTATTGTATCTCACATCTAAAGGTGATGAGAAATAAGGTCCCAAGCCACCTGGAAAGTAGTGGAAGACTTCAAATGAGATGAAAATAGCTGAACTACTGCAGCCTTAAAAAATGACAAAGATACACTGTACATGTACTACTTAGTGGATGACAACTACTATAATTTAATTTATGAAGAATATCTGCTAGAATGAACATTCCTTCCTGTCCTGAAACTGCTAAGAGACACGGGTAACTAAATGGATTTTGAACACTAGAACTACACATAGAGTTGAGCAGGTTTTGAGCTTGGAAATATTTTGAATGAATTAACAAAAAGAATCCAATTCATAATTGCTAAATATTAACACGAACCCTTGCTCTACGGCCACAGAGGTTTTCAAATCCAACAATGAAAACAGCCACTTGTTGCTGATACTAAAAAGAAATAATATATTCACATGTGTATCAACTTAGTTGTTATTTAAACCAGCTAATGAACAAAACCATTCATCAACACTTGTCATCCCAGATGTCATGCATTGCAACTGGAATTTTGGTGTTTTGCTTGATAAAATGGTCATCAGTCACTGTTAACAACAACAGTCCTAATCAGGACTACGATCACCCGGATGATCAAACTCAACCTACTTTTGAAATGACTCCTGGGTTTAAACCTTTCACAGTTTTACATACAATGCTAGTCACATACGATAGTCGTAAGTATAAAATCATACTGTCTAAGTCGGCCAGTGGAAAAAAGTGTTTTCCACTTTTTGAACGACTGGGACTGGAAGATTTTTTGTGACAAATGAAATCAAAAACAAATTGCCAAAGGAGAGAGCCTAGGATTGAGAGCAGTCAAATGCACTTGCAAATCTCACTAACACATCAAGTTCTACATGATGTACACTGTCAGTATCAATATTGAATGCACTATACCTTTCTCTTGGCCACTGGGTCTGACAATATTATAAGAAGCTGAGTCTGGAAAAGACAAACAAACAAGGTCCTGAAAATGGATTTAAGGTGATTCCCTGGTTTTGCACTGTGCATCTCTTACTGCGCATAACAAGATGGCCTCCGTAAAAAAGAGCATGTGAAGTAACATTATTAAAATGAAGTTGACTGAAGAGAAACGCTATTGCAATTTTTGCTTGCGGTTGTTTCTTGCCGAGGTGAGACTCAATGTGTTGGTAATGTGCATAGCGTAAGCAGTACGCGTGTTGCTGAGTTTGACTTCCTCAGAGAGAACCTCGATAGTGGATGTTTAACTTGTGCTTACTCACTTTGATTTTCATTTAAACGCCTTCTTTATCACATTGTGTCCTAAATGTGATATCTCGATGTAAATTCTATAAAAATGGATTTTTTAATACTTTCTTCCCCCTTTTCACAAACATTCTATTTTGAAACTCACCCCAGTCCTCTCTCAAAAATCAGAGAAAATGCATTTGGTGCGCACTTTCTGCAGCTTTACCGTAAACATGAGTGCGGTGACCCCCATTTTTTATTTCATGATTTTAATAAGGACAGTGCTTCCTTTCGATGAGAAAAAAATTGGCACAAATCTATGTTCCGTTTTTTGGAAATTTTACTAAATAATTGTACGGATTGAGCTATCACAGGTCGAATAGCGCGTAAAATAAAAAGAGGAGCATTAAAAGGCATTTTTCTGGTATGTAAGTGGATAAACAATAAAATAAAGTCAAATTCTGTGCGATAGCACATGCATCATCAAAAAAATCTCTCTTTTTTGTCTAGTTTTGGACTGTGCATGGTCTTTGTCGAAGGGTTCAAAATAGCTGTATTTGTCAGCATTGTGACGTCAAAACGAGCACCGTGACCCCCACTTTTTATTACTTATTATCATCTTCTTGACTTGTTACATCAGTGTACCAAGTTTCATCTACAATCTATGTTAGGTTCTTTTACAAAGGAATCATCTTAACCTTAAACTGCAATTAATAATATAGGTTTTGGTGACCAGAAATACATGTACTTTCTAATGATTCTTATGAAAAAAAATTATTATTATTCTTATTATAAACTATAATAATAAATTTATTTATTACTTATTATTATTTCTAAAAATCAGGAAAGTGTTCTTGTTTTTGTTCTTCTTCCTAGAAGCACCCATCTCTTTAGTGCTGAAATGTTTAAAATCGATATTCTGGATGATCATAAATTTTTTTGCTATTCTTACTTTATACATGTAGATGAAGTTCAAGTCACTCATCATGCAAAGGGTTGTTGGAGAGAGGCTTTTGATTTAGTCCAGTTACTCTTATTCAAGGTGACTCAGTGAAGGGAATCCAAAGTAATAAAACCAGAAAATATTTACCGAAAACCAGCGTTTCCTGAAGTTCCAGCGACTAACAAAAGTTCCTAACTACACGTAGTTTTCAAGAAAGTGCTGGCTACTTAACTTGAAATAATACATCCATCAAACTTGTTTCTCACCAATTTACATGGTGAAATAGATCAAAATTATATAGGACAAAAAAGGGTGCCATCCTCATGGCTAATATTGCTTCCATGCAGTTTGCTAACAATGCACTGAATGATCTTTGCAGTAGTCCTGTGCCAAGCTCTTGGTCAGTGCAAATGAGCAAAATAGAGTGGATGAACAGCGAAAAAGTAAGCAATGAAAATCAGTAGCTTTCATGCAACTTTTCTTGATCCACTTACCCTACTATCTTGATGACTGGGAAAGCTTACTTTGCAGGAACCCCAAAATAAACGTTTCTCATGGGAGGGGGGTCCCATACCTACCCACACACATGGTTTTACTGTATGAGAGGTGTTCTACTCTGTCACCACCTACTCTTAAAAATCACTTCTCCTTCAACTTTAACCCTTCAAGACCTGTTTCAAACGTCACACTACTACCATGCTAAGCTGGCTCAACTGTAGCTCAACTGCAGCACGACACTAGCACGACTTGGTTTCATACATTGAATTTAGTTCAGTCGAACACAACGGCTGTTGACAAAAACAAACCACAAAAATAAAGATACGGTTTGGCAAACTTTTAAATGTATTCTAATGTATTTATAATTTATGAATTGAGTTTGGCATGGCAGTAGAGCAACATTTGAAAGCAAGTTGTTTCAAACGTAGCGCTAGTGCCATGCTAAAGTTGAATTTAATTCAATCAACTTAGTTTGGCATGGCAGTAGCACGATGTTTGAAACGCGCCTAAGCCTTGGATATCAACATGTTTATTCTCCTCCCTGCTGTCCATAATTATGGTTCTTGTTGCACCGTTTGAGCGACATTTCATCACTGCTGCTCCTCCCACTCATCCCATCCCAGTAAGGAGAAATCTGATGCTGGTCACTATCTTGAGGCTTCACGGGTTAAAGAATGCTGCACTGTGACATACACCAATTCCCACAGAATACCCAAAACGAGTGGTACCGGTATACCAGTATACTCAAAATCATTAGTTATTTTCAGGTAAAAGACACCCGTATTACCCTCAAGCCCTGGCCGACCCTTCTTACTTTTGTCAGTTGTAAAGTCTGTTTCCTGTTTTACATTTTCCAAGCAGCATGAAGATCGCGTGCAGAAAATCAAAATAAAGCCTTCCTGAGGTAGAGGAAGCCATGATGCGTGTCAGGGAAATAGAATGCTCAAATGAGCTTGTGATGAACATATTTAAAAAGCATCGTTCTGAGGTCAACTAGAGGCCATGTGTTGCCCTTTTAAGCGGTACGAAAACAACCTACGCCACGGACAAACAGTACGTTCGTGGCAGACATTGAAAACAAATACCTTTTCGAGTTACGAAAACAATAAAATGTTCTAAAACAAAAGAATATTTTCCCGAATTATGGCCGAAAAATTATGAACGCCTCTCGGGTCCCAAGAGGACGCCTTGCATAATGACAAAATGACTGCTGCGTATTGAAGCTGGGCTTATGACTCGCGCTATGTCTGTAATCAAAGATTAAAAGCTAGTTCATGCTTATAATAAACATTTCGGTATATTAGAAACAGTCCTTCGTACCATATCATCCACAAATTCCAGGGTCGCTTGTTCCCTTATAAATTCCTCAGCGATTCGTTCTACTTCTCTTTCATCAAGTTGATGTCCGGATAATTTTTCGCTGAGTTCGTAAGAGTCTATAGTCTAAGAAAAAAGACAAAGATTAAAAATAAGCTCACAAAAGGATAAAAAAGAAAAAGGAGAAATAAAGGCTGATCAAACTGCTTTTCTTACCCTTGTAACGCGTTCGTGTATGCGGGTCAATTCTTCCTGTGTTTCCACAACATGCCGGATCGCCTTCTTCCTCGCGTTGTCTTTGAGTATAGCGAGCGCAGGGGCATCGCCACGTTCGGAAAATTCCTCTACCTCCAACATTGTTTACTTCTACAAGTGACTAACCCATGACCTTAACAATTATTTCGCTATCTTGAAGGAAACCGATAAAAAATATTGACTCCGAAATATGCAGATTACCTTGACTCTGGGTTGCTATATAAACTGCTTGTAGGAAATTCAAAATATGTTGAGATACTCCTCTCTAGGGAGGGGTGCGTGCAAAGTACCCACAATTCCTGTTACTCGCGCCAGGCAGTACACCTAGGGATTGGTTACAGAGAAATAAACTAGGTAATTCTGACTCCACTACACAACATCAACAGACAAAACGTAATGGCAAATAAGTTTATTTTGGGACGGCTTGGCGAGAACCAACCCTACAAAGTATTTATGTAAATACAATAATAGGTGAATACTGGTGAATACCTAATGTACAACACTTGTAAACTAGCTTTCACAAAAAGATAAAACTCGTGCGACAAATGGTCGCTCTTGACCTGAATCTCCCATTTAAGCAGGCAGGCTTAGTGCCAGGTAGGCTGCCAGTCATTCTGGGGAAACTAATTAATAAAACTCAGACAACGCATAACTGGCACACGGAACACGGTAGTAGCACAGAGGCTAAACAAAAAGAAAAAACTCCTCACAACTGGTCGATCTCGACCTGAATCCCCCAAATAAGCACACAGGCTTAGTGCCAGTTAGGCTGCCAGTTAGGCTGGGGAAACTAATTAATAAAACTCAGACAACGCATAACTGGCACGAGGAACACGGTAGGAACACAGAGGCTAAGCAAAAAGAAAAAAAACTGCTACAACTGGTCGATCTCGACCTGAATCCCCCAAATAAGCACACAGGCTTAGTGCCAGTTAGGCTGCCAGATAGGCTGGAGAAACTAATTAATAAAACTCAGACAACGCATAACTGGCACGAGGAACACGGTAGGACCACAGAGGCTAAGCAAAAAGAAAAAACTGCTACAACTGGTCGATCTCGACCTGAATCCCCCAAATAAGCACACAGGCTTAGTGCCAGTTAGGCTGGAGAAACTAATTAATAAAACTCATACAACGCATAACTGGCACGAGGAACACGGTAGGAGCACAGAGGCTAAGCAAAAAGAAAAAACTGCTACAACTGGTCGATCTCGACCTGAATCCCCCAAATAAGCACGGAGGCTTAGTGCCAGTTAGGCCGGGGAAATTTAATAAAACTGTGATCAACGTATAACTGGGACCGGGAACACTTCAGGAGCACAGAGGCTGAGTGCCAGGAAAACTGGGAATTATCTCCACTAATGTACCCAACAAGGCACGTAGCCCAATAACCAGTAAGACTGCCATAAAAGGCTAGGGCGGGACATTGAGGGTAAACAATGAATAACGACCCTGGCTAGAGGTCTGTAACATTGCCTGCAACCTAACTGCTCCAATAATGACTTACGTCGCCTCCTAAAGAGCGGTTCCGGGACAGCTGACCTAAGCATACATGGAAACTAAATATATCAAGTAAAGGAGCAGGTGCAAAACTGAGATAACTAGTGTACAAGTACATAAAATAAGAAACGGGAAAAAGGCTGAAAACTAGCAGAGCTGAGCTACCGCTTACAAACTGAAGTAAATGCGGTCAGACGGAGGCCAGAAAAACCTGCCCAAAAAAAACCCCGAAGGGAAAAAAATGCGGGCAGGAAATCTGGGTAGGAACCAAGGCTCAAGCTCAAAGCCCTTCCTACGGGACTTAACAATGTAATCGAGAATATGTTGCTCCTAAAATAAATAAAAACAAAAATTTAAGAAAAACCAAGGAGAGGTTGGTTCGTAAGCCTAGATGACGAACACGTGATATACGCAGCCTTATATACCCCCGATATGGCTACCCATGGTGCACCCGGCCTAGTACCCAGGCCCTGTTGTATCTCGTGCCGTCAAAATATTTATTTCTGCCTTCTTCGCGGGCTCATTCGTCAGAAATAACATATTCTGACTCCACTACACAACATCAACAGACAAAACGTAATGGCAAATAAGTTTATTTTGGGACGGCTTGGCGAGAACCAACCCTACAAAGTACGTAGAGTGACAAAGTATTGGGCGAAATGACAAATGAAAGCTCCTAGAGCCCAAGAAACTTGGAAATTGAAAGCCTTTTTTCTAGGTCATCATCGGTAGGCGTCCTTGGCTAGAATGGACTTTCAGCGGCCGAGCCACTGAAACACACTGTCACAAACCCCATTATAAGCAGCGAAGGTGGCCCCTCACGAACGCAAGGAATATAAACCAAAAGTGGAAGAGTCAACCCCGACAATTCTCAGGTCCTTGCGAAAAGCCTCTCTAATTGTGGTATAGCTGATAGGCTCGTTCTGGGAAACTAACTAAAAAGAGTTGTTCCCGCGAAACATGGGGCAAAAATGAGATCCCCGGAGCTAAAGGGGATGGAAAAAAGAGCAAGGTACCTCTTTAGAAGCTTGACAGGACAAGCGGGGCCAAACATTTCCGAAAAAATCACTTCGAGTCATCGTCCTTACAAAGTTGGTCGTTCTTGCTTTTGAGAACCTTAATGATCATGAAACCCTCATGAAAGAAAATATAATACCCCCTAATTATGGAGACCTCATCAAACCTAAAATCGTTTTGAAAACACACCTAGCCCCTTCAATAATCGAGTTATCCCTGGGAGAGGGGATACCCGCCATGGTATGAACCCATTTAATACCATAAACACCCGAGTCTACGACGCACGGGGAGTGCGACTCTTCAATGAGGTGTCGCAAATACAAGGCAACATGGCAGGGACTGGCAGGACAGGCCCAGGAATGAAGCTTACTGGCAGCAAAACATTTTTACTTGCGAGAAGCACGAAGGTACACCACTGTCGTACTAACTGCCTTTGAGGAGAGAACCGTCGATTGCATTGTAGACTGTCTGTCAGCCTCAGGGTTCAACCCTCTGGTGGGAAATTCTGGGGCCCGCGCTAGAAACCAGAGCGGAATATATCTGAAAAGTAATCGAAAATACAAAAGAAAATGTGAGGATCACGCAATAAAAAAGAAAAAACACCGGAAAAGGGAAGCGGGGGGTCAAAATGCTACATGCAAAAACCTAATGGGTCCAAACCTAAAGGTACGCATAACACGCGTGTAGAGGCACAGGCAACACTTTCCGTCGGGCGGCGTAGAGCAGAAGCCCGCCAGGGACGAGGGAGGTGTGGGGCGCCGAAAATAAACTAGAAGCGCTATGACGCCAAAAAATAAAGGCCTGGTTCTGAAAAGGGAATTACGGACCTTCCCTGGAACAAATAATCCCTGGAACTTAAGCAATAAAACCCAGTCCACAACAAAACTATTCCAATGCACTCCATCTCTAGTAGAAACATTTCAGAAAATAGCTGACTTCCATACGTGAGGAATAAGGGCTCCCGTGAGCGCGCAGAGCCCAATGTGTCTGATATACATGACTCTGACAATGAGGCAAACAGGTGGGCCAAGCCAGTTGTTGTCCTATCCCCAATTTTGAGCGAAGGCATAAACAGCCTAACAGCCTGGCTGAAAAATAGAGAGTTAAGCCAAGGCAACTCGCCGTTGTAACTACAGGCGAACCTGTCAATAATGTAAGGACCTAAGAGGTGAATTAGCCCTAGCAAAAACAAAATCGTTGAGGCCGTAACCATCGAAGTCAACGAGCTTGCAGATACAGACCGCACTAGCGTTCAGGTCCCTAGGGATCCACTTGACCTCGAACGAAATACAATGATGGGAGCAAATTTGAAAAGCAACTAGAGCTAAATTCTTTGAGATCGCATTTCCTGCTGCCGTCGCGGAGAATGGATTCGACGTTCTGGTTGTCAGAATACCAAAAAACCTTGGAATTAGATGAAGGGCTCTCGAAGGCTAGTAAGGCAAGACAAACCGCTTTGAGGTCTCTTCAAGTCGATCTACGAACACTTTCCGACCAATTCCGATAAAAAATCAACTCAGGTTCAGACTCCACTTAAACGCCGCAGGCTGAATCGGAAGCATCGGAGAAGCCGGAGCTTACTCTCACTGGAAGCGAACTGGAACCCCTCGATAAATTTTGCCGTAGAGAGGCTAACATAATTCGACCAAAATTCAATTTCATACAAAGAATCAACGGACAGGAAAACCTAGCTATCCCAGGAAACAGCTGAGTAAACAACTGAGAAAAGAAATCGGGCCATAATGCTTCGACGGATCCCACGCTACTCGAGAGGGAAATACTATGGGCGACTACACACGGGACGCGTAGAACGTGGACTGTGGTGGACGACTAATATGAAGACAAAGCCGCCAGGTCGCGAGATAATCTAGCAATGCGTTCATCCGTGGCTCTAATACTTCCATCCAGAGTGTTATGTTGAGATGAACGCGAAGCCACTAGAAAATTCGAACGGGCTCCCACAGGGACTTTTCCTCATAGGAATTCGAACAAAGCGAGACTAAAGCAAATCGGCATGGACAGCCCGCAAACTGTAAATTAAGGCCTGAACGCGATAGGCTCCCCCTCCTATAGCTAGACCATAGTCAAGAAAAATGGCAATAGGGATACCTTGGCTTCTTCTAGATTTCTGAAGCGGTTTGAGGGAGGCTGACAAGAACCCAAAGGGAAGCGCGCAAAGTAGAAAATACCTAAAAACCCAGGTACCGAGATCCCAGGTGAACGCAAGGAAATACTGGTGATCAGGGAAAATTACGATAACCGCAATAGAGGTAAAATATGAATAAATAAAAACCCATATCAAAAATATAAGTGGCCATGGACAAGTCTTCGCACTTGAATTTCTGTTTGAAGAAAAAAGTGCAAACGTGCCTAAAATCCAGGATTAACCTTTGTTAGCCGGAGCGGCGCGTCAAACAGAAAGCGGGTAAATGATATTGGAATGCAAAAACTTTTAAAAGGAGGTTGAGGCTGGGAAGCTCATTAACAGCTACGGACAAAAAGAACTGTAAACACGTGCAGAGGCATTGTAGGATTTGTAAAAATACATAAAAAGCTGGAAGAAGGGAATTTGTAACTAAGACTAAAAACATTCAAAATGAACAGAGAAACTAGCAAAGTATGCCAGAAATAGATAACTGTGAAAAATC